GATGATGGATGGATGGATGGATCCATGGATCCATGGATGGATGGATCCATGGATGGATGGATGGATGGATGATGGATGGATGGATCCATGGATGGATGGACGGATGGATGGATGGATGGATGGATGGACGGAGGGATGGATGGAGGGATGGATGGATGATGGATGGATGGATGGATGGATGGATCCATGGATGGATGGATCCATGGATGGATGGATGGATGGATGATGGATGGATGGATCCATGGATGGATGGACGGATGGATGGATGGATGGATGGATGGACGGAGGGATGGATGGAGGGATGGATGGATGATGGATGGATGGATGGATCCATGGATCCATGGATGGATGGATCCATGGATGGATGGATGGATGATGGATGGATGATGGATGGATGATGGATGGATGGATGATGGATGGATGGATGGATGGATGGAGGGATGGATGGATGGATGGATGGATGGATGGATGGAGGGATGGATGGATGGATCCATGGATGGATGGATGGATGGATGGATGGATGGATGATGGATGGATGGATGGATGGGTGGATGGATGGATGGATGATGGATGGATGGATGGATGGATGATGGATGGATGGATGGATGGATGGACGGAGGGATGGATGGATGATGGATGGATGATGGATGGATGGATCCATGGATGGATGGATGGATGGATGGATGGATGGATGGACAGAGGGATGGATGCATGGATGGATGGATGGATGGATGGAGGGACAGAGGGATGATGGATGGATGGATGGATCCATGGATGGACGGAGGGATGGATGGATGGATGGATGGATGGATGGATGGATGGACGGATGGATGGACGGCCCATGGAATTTTGGGAACACGAGGATTTTTGGGGTCCAGGCACATCCCAAACACCCACGAAAGCCAAGATTTGGGATCAGGATGGGATTTGGGATCAGGATGGGATTTGGGAACAGGAAAATTCAATTTTTAACCCCAAAAGGAACCGGAGGCTGAAGTAGGAGAAGGCCACTACTGATCCCACCCCAACAGCGCCAAACCTCCCCAAAATCGGGGATAAATAATTGATTCTGAGGCCAAAATCCCCTTCAAACAGCAACTCCGCCCAAATCCCACAAATATTTTTATTTTCCCCTGGGAAAACCCCCAAATTCCCGAATTTCCAGAGCTGGGGGGGCCCAGCCCCGAGTTCTGCTGTGGGGCCGCAGATTTTGGGAGCCACATGGAGCAGGAGAGGGAAAACAGCCCGAGGGAGGGAAAACGATCTCCAAAGTGCACGAAAATGGGGAAAAAACACAAAAAACACCAAAAGAGACAGACATGTGTCCACCAAATGTGGCGAGGGTGAGAAAAGGGAGAAAGAGAAGGAAAAACAAACCAAAAAAAAAGGGGGAAAGACCCAAAGTTTGCTGTGAATCCCAGAAAATCCTCAGCCAACTTCGGCTCCGAGTTCATATTTTAAATTTAATTCGATTTTTGCGGAGGGAGGAGCCGCCTCAGGTGTGAGGGTGCCACAACTGAACTTCCCAAAAAAAAAAAAAAAAAACCCAAAAATCCCCACAGCAGCATCTCCAGGTTGGAAATTTTGGGGTTTTTTCCCATTTTTTCTCTCTACCTGCCCAATTTCTGCGGGGTCACCTGCCCGGCTCTGCCCCTGACCCAAAATTTTCCCGAATTTTGGTGGTTTTGGCAGGGAAGGGAGAGGGGAAAGGCGGCTCTGGGGGCTCCAGATGCGGGAGCAGCAGCAGCTCCCGGGATTATTTATTATTTTTCTGTAGCCGCAGACACAAGAGTGGTCATTCAGGGTCTCCAGATGGCAGGGACGGAGCGCGGAAATGCGAGGACACCCGATCCTGGTCAATGTCTGCGCTTGGGCGGGGGGAGGAAACCCGAGAGGGAAAAGAAAAAAAGAAAAAAAAAAAAGAAAAAAAAATAGGCCTGAGGCAAAAAAAAAAAAAATTTAAAAAAATCACAAAAAATCAGCAAAACCCAAATAAATGAAATAAACCCCAAACGGCCCAAGCAGCAAAGGGGAGGGGGGAGGAAGAGGAGGGAAAAGCGGATTTTTCGGGGCGAGCAGGTGAAGAGGGCCGGGAGGGAAGGTGAGAGCTGCACTGAAATGCAAATGTGCCCTCCGAGGGACAGCGCCAGCCCCAAACTTGGCCTCGCGTCCCCGCCGGGGCTCGCAGACGGCATTTTCAGCAATTTTTCACCGATTTTTCTCATTTTTTTTCACCGATTTCCCCCCATTTTTCCACCCCGAGTTCCCAGGCCGGCCTGGGAGCTGGGATGCAAACCCCCTCCTCAAAATCACATTCAAAACTCCCCGAGTCGAACCAACCCCCGCCAACGCTCCGAACCATAAACTTTTGGGGTTTTTTGGGATTTTTTCGGTTCGTTTTCAAAGCAGAGAACATCGGAGGACTTACTCGGAGCGCTGCAGTCCGCGGGACCCGCGCAGCGCCGCTCGCAGCGTTTATCTCTCATCTGGAAAAGCGCTCACCCTCCGCCGCCCCCGACGAGGCACGGCGAGCAGTTAAAGTGTCACTTAACATTCTGGAGAATGTGAAATATATTGTACATTGTCAACTCCCCAAAACCATAAAACTAACTTTATGGACCTCACGTGACTTTTGAGAGCCAGTGAGGGGTATCTGAGCCGGGCTCCGGGCGATTTTTACGATCTAACTTCGAGATAAAACCCCCCCATGTCCATTTGACATCTAAAAGTGTCACCGCCACTTTTGGGAGAGTTTGCTTAAAAAAAAAAAAATAGGGGAAAAAAAAGGGAAAAAAATTAGGAAAAAAAGAAAAATTACCAAAGGGAAGGCAAGCAAACGGTTTGGGACCTGACAGTCCACTCCACATCCCTCTCAAAGTCACTTAAGGAGTCCCCAAACTGTGGCTGAGATTAAGTTCGGTAAGTCCCGAGCCCAACTTTCCGCGGCTGCGGTGGTGCCAGAGGCGTCGCGCCGAGCTCGGCTTTGCTGGGCCGGCCCAGGGTTGGGTTTGGGCCGGGCGCGGGGTTTGGCAGCCGCGGGGTCCGCGCTAAACCCGGGACTGAGCGGTGAAACCGGGACTGAGCGGTGAAACCGGGACTGAGCTGTAAACCCGGGACTGAGCGGTAAAACCGGGACTGAGCGGTGAAACCGGGACTGAGCGGTAAAACCGGGACTGAGCGGTAAACCCGGGACTTAGTGGTAAAACCGGGACTGAGCGGTAAAACCGGGACTGAGCGGTGAAACCCGGACTGAGCGGTGAAACCCGGACTGAGCGGTGAAACCGGGACTAAGCGGTAAAACTGGGGCTGAGCGGTGAAACCCGGACTAAGCAGCAAACCCGGGACTGAGCGGTAAAACCCGGATTGAGCGGTAAAACCCCCGGTAAAACCGGGACTGAGCGGTTATACCGGGACTGAGCGCTAAACCCGGCCAGGAGCAGCCGGGCAGAGCTCGGCTTTACCAGGGATAATCTGATTGATAATCCCGGACTAACAAGCTCTGCGCTGCTCGGCGCGGCCTTGGGCACCTGTGCGCGTTGAAATGGGAATTTTGGGGGTGATTTTTGCCGGCCGACCATCCCCGCAAGGCTCGGGAGGCAAAGGAGCGTTGGGGGGAGCGAAATTCACGTTTTGGCCCAGGCGTTTTGGGGGCATTCTGCGCGGTTTTGGGGGTGATGCTTGCGTTGGAGCCCCGCGCGGTGCCGGCATTTGGGATTTGGGGCAGATTTTGGGCGGATTTTTGGCAGATTTGGGACACATTTGGGGGGATTTTGGGGGATTTTGGCGGTTTTGAGGCCGAGGGGCCGCGGGGCACCTGGCGCGTTTGGGTTTCGGAGGGGTCGGAGGGGGTAAAGACGCGAGCGGGAGCCTTTGTGAGTGGGGGAAAACGTTTATTTGAGTTCGAGTAAAGCTACAAACAAATACAAAAAGCTGCTTGGCCAAGAACTACCCGGCTGCGAGACATGACAGATGCCATTTTTACACAGAACACCGCATTCACTCTGCCCACTACGACCCGGCTATTACTCACGGCAGAAATATTCCTAATATTTACAAACACCAGAGCGCTCCAGCGTCGCTCTCTCCGCTTTTGTACATTATTTTTTCTTTTTTTTTTTTTCTTCTTTTTCCTTTTTTCCCTTTTTTTTTAAATTTTTTTGAGTTATTAATTATTGGTATTATTATCAATTTTTAATAGTGAAGTTCACCCACGTCTAAGAGTACGCCTTGGACTGAGGCCGGGATTAGAAATCCTGGCCTGGAGTTCGGACTAAAACACAGACTGGACAATTTTAAGACAGAAAGATACAAGAGCTGCTTCTTTTTCTTTTTTTTTTTTTTTTTCCTATTTTTTTTCCCATTCTTGTTGGGTTTTTTAAAGACCTTTTTTTTTTCTGCGACTGTAGTGCAGGAACCCCCGATTTTCGCTTAGGCAGAGAAAAACTCACCCAAGAGCAGGAAACTCGGATACAAAGGGGAAGGGGGGAGAAATTAAAATAAAATTAAAAAAAGAAGAAAATCCCAACAAATAAAGCAAGAACCGTATCTGTTCTGGATTCATAAATAAGTTATCACATTCAAGGGCTCACAGAACACATGCCAGCTTTCCAGAAAGCACCAAGAGAGCACGGACACACACACACATTTAGAAGAACAACGAGAGCGGGAGGAGCATCTGGAAATAAAATTTAATTTTTTTTTTCCTCGTTTTTAAACAAACAAACAACCGAAAAATAAGAACTTCCAGCAGGGAGCTGAGTCCCGGGCTGAGGGCACGGCCAGGAGCCGCTTTGGGCAGGAACCAGCCCCGGAGGTGCCTCGCTGCTCCGTCCTCCCGAACCGCGATCTGCCCATCCTTCCTTTATTTCATTATTCGCTCGGGGGTTTCGCTGTGGTTTTTGGGTTGGTTTTTTTTAATTTTTTTTTAAATTTATATTATTTTTCCTCCTTCCTCTTCGCCTCCCGCTCGTTTTCGCCCCCGGTATTTTTTTATTTTTGGCTCAGGGCTGGAAGGCGCTGCCGGCCGAGGCCAGGCTCATGCTTTTCAGTTTGTTGTCCTTCTTCCACTTCATGCGGCGGTTCTGGAACCAGATCTTGATCTGGCGCTCGGAGAGGCAGAGCGCGTGGGCGATCTCTATCCTCCTCCTGCGGGTCAGGTACCGGTTGAAGTGGAATTCCTTCTCCAGCTCCAGCGTCTGGTACCGCGTGTACGCTGTCCTCGCCCTCTTCCCGTCTGGTCCGGTCATGTCTGGGCAACACGGACAACAGAGCGGGGTTGGGGTTTGCTCTTTCTGCTCGCGCTCCACCTATTCTCCATCTGTTTTCCGCCTATTTTTTAAATTTTAAACCTATTTTTTGAGCTTTTTAAAATTTTTTTATTTTTTTTTTTAAACAGCGGAAAGCTGCGAATTGCCCCCAAATACCAGCACCCCCCCCCCACTCCTCTGTCTCGTTTTCCTCCCACACGTGCGGAAACCCCCCACCCTCGGCCCCTGCAGACCCCAATTCCCCGCTCGGGGTCCGTCATTTACAGCTCTGGGCATCGCTGCCCTTCCCGCGCTGTTCCCTGGCAGGTTTGGGGCACAAAACCGGGAATTGAGCCCGGAGCGGGGCCGGGGGGCGGCTCTGCCCCTCCCGGGGGTCTCCCGGCGCCTTTGGGGGGCTTGGCAAGGGCAGCTCAGTGGGGACGAGCCCAGAAAAGCGGGGCAGGACGAGCCGCGAGCCCCATCCGCGCCTCCAGCCCCGTTTTAACGCTCAATTCTCCCATTTTCACCCCAAACAGCACCCCCCGGCCTCGGGTTTTAAATTACCTTTCTCCCACCCACCCGCACGGTGCCGAGAGCTCGGGGAAAAGCGCGGGGAGGGCGAAAGGAAAATAAAATCGCCCCCCCAGAAACGCAGAGAGACACACGCGGAGCCCCCCTCGGCAGGCGCCGGAGGCAGCTCCGGAGCGAGAAATACAAAAGCAATAAATAGCTGCGATTCTGATCAAAGCGCCTCCGCGGAATAAAGGGAGGGAGAGAGCGGAAAATAAAGCGAGCGGGGCTGGGGGGGGGGGGGGAGGGAGAAAAAGGGGGGAAAAAAGAGAAAGAAACAGCGAGGTGGGGTTGGGTTGGGGGGGATTGTGCGGCAAAAAATAAACAAGCGCAAGGAGGCAAAAAGAAGGAGCTGTACCATGGCTAATGTGAAGTTTCCTCATCCAAGGGAATATCTGAGGTGCCTGCCCTTCTGTCGCTGCCGTGGAGGTCGCGATGGGCTCTGCCTGCGCTCGGGGGATGCTGCTGCTTATTGGAGTGCCCTCGTCGGCTCCCGAGGACGCGCTGGTCTCGTCTAGTTCTGTGAAATTTGTGTTGGTGCTGCTGGCAGCAGGAGCCGGCTCGGAGGGGGACGGGGCGGGTTTGCCTCCGTGGCTCTCGCTGTTGGAGCAGGGCAGGGAGTCGGGAGAAGATAAGGAGCAGCTGGACGCCTGTCTAAACCTGCTCTCCTGAGCTGGAGAAGGGAAACCGCGGGAGCTCTCGCCCACAGCCCCAAAGTGACTGGAGGAGGCCGAGCGGTTGATGCTAAGGTCCATCCCATTGTAGTTGTAGCCATAAGAGCTGGAATGCATGGTGCTTGAATCTCTGTAAGAACCGTTCATGGAACTGCCGGTCCCATAATTTAGTAACTGATAGTCGGGGCCATTTGGGTAGCGCCCTGAGAACGAGTTTACAAAGTAAGAGCTCATTTGGGTTATTTTGGAGGGCTTGATTTGTGGCTCGCGGTCGTTATAACCCCGCGCTTGACGATTTATGATGTATTAATGAATTATAGCGATGCACTGTACTTCGTTTTTGCTATGTATGCGGCCAAATATGGGGGGAGGGTGGGGGGTGCGTTTGGGCGTCACGTGCTTTTGTTGACCAGTCGTAAATTCTCGCTGATGACCTCAAGAGGTAATTCATGCTCTATGGTTACAAATAATGACGAGCGCGGAGCCGCTTTAGGCCCGAAGTCGCCCCAAATCCGCCGCCGCCATCGCCCCCCGCCTGGGCGGAGCGCGCCACCTGCCGGCCGCGCCGCGCCACTGCGCCTCGGGGACCCCCCTTCCTCCTGCTGCTCTCCCAAAAAAAGGGAAAAGAATTTAAAAATCCCCGTCACCCCCACTGCGGTTCTGTGATTCCGCTCCGTTTTGGGTTTTTTAAAAATAGAAAAATATGTTTTAAACCAGTGAGGAGCGAGGAGAGGGCGCGGCGCGTCCTGCGGGGCCGGGCGCCCTCAGAGCTCGGGGTTGTTCTGGAGGAGTCTCGGTGCTGGAGAAGCGCTGGAGAAGTTTGGGACGAGGTTTTGGGTGGCTCGGAGGCCTCTGGGGGGTCCGCAGTTGGAAGGGGTGGCCAGCAGGAGCTGCGGGTGGTTTTGGGGCGGTTTCTCCGCGCAAAAGTCGAGGTTCCTTCAGGCAGGAGCTCGCACCTCAGCTCTGGAGGGGAGAAAAGAAACTCGGGGGGAAAATCGGGTGGGAGAAAGGGAAAAGAGGCGAAATCCGGCCGGTGGAATGGTTGGCAGCGTTGGTTTTTGGGATGTCCGTGCTCCTGAGCGTTTCCACGTCCTCTCTGAGCCTTGGGCTGCGCGGGTTTTCCTTCCCGTTTGTTGACCTGCGAGGAACATCGGGGAGCAAAAGCGCTCGGAAATTGGGGAGAACGCTGGGAAAGAGCCGGAATTTTTTAGCCATCACTTTCCTCTTTTTCCTCTCCTTCTTCTCTTTCCTCTGTCTCTCTCCTTTTCTCTGCCTCCGTCCTTTTTTCAAATTTTATTTTCCTTTTTTTGCGGGTTTTTTTTTTTTCCCCCCCTTTCCCTCCTTCCGAGGCACTTCAGGAATTTCGCGCGCTCGCCTGCAACTCGTTGGGAATTACGCGCCATATTGAAAGTGACATATAATTATAATAATTACGGGCAATGAAAAGCGTGGCAATAACAGTAAATGTCCTGCAGCTGTGAAGCTTCTGCGTGAATTGATTTTGAGCGTGGCCGGCGCTAAAGGCGGCTCGTGGCGCGGGGGGGACGCGCTCCCGCTCCCACCCGGCGCTTTCTGGTGCCCACGGGCCGCTCCCCGCTCGCCTTTTCCAGCTCCGAATCCCCCAGCAGATAAAAATAAAAATAATCCTCCGCTCTCATTCCATTCCTCCCCGCGAAGCCGGGGAAAAGTTGGCGATTTCGCAAGAAAATTCCTCAAAACCTTCCCCGTCCCGTCCCCGGCCAAGGCAAGGAGCCGCTGGCCAGGGAAAATAAAAATCTGCCTTTTCCAAGCAGCTCCGTTCACGATTTTCCCACTTTTTTTTTCCCCATCCGGTTTAAACGGGCGCTCATTCCTGGCAATGAAAATTTTTCCCGGGGTGAATTCCTTGGAAACCTGGAATATTTTTAATTTTTTTTTAATTTTTTTTTTTTTTTTTTTTTTTGCGCCACATTTCTCTTTGATTTGGGGGCGCGGAGCGCGGGGGAGCAGATGTTTGAAAGATGCTGGGCAAATGTTAGGTGGCTTTTGGCGGATAAACGAGCGCGTGTTTTTGCCCGTTTCCTTGATTTATCGTGGAGATGGGAACGGCGTTTCTTCATAACTCTTTGTACTGTAACAATAAAAAAAAAACAGAGAGAGAAAGAGAGGGAGAGAGCGAGCGGTGCTGAGGCAGAAATGTCAGCCAGGAAACGCTCCTGGGGAAAGGGCTCCCATCGCAGATTACAGCCCAAAAATGGGGGAAAATCAGATTTTTCTGTAATTCCCGAGCGCTCCGAGCTGCGCGTCCGAGGACATCGGGGGGGAGGGCGAAAAATCTCCTTTTCACCCCCCTGGAAAAGGGAGAATTCCCCTCAAAACAGCGCTAATAACCACAGGGGAGGGCTGTGCCGTGAGATCGAGGACTTGGCTTTTATTAGAGAATTCCATGTTCATACCTAAGACAAACTCCAAACACAACACGTACAAAAATTAATAAAATAGAACTTTCTGTCGTTGTTCTTCTTTTTTTTTTTCTTTTTTTTAAAATTTTTTTTTTTGCGGCCTTGTAGGTAGTACTCGTTCTTTCAGTAGATTTTTTTTTTCCCTTTTGAAAATAAAAAATTTAAAAGGCAAAAAAAAAAAAGAAAAATAAAACCCCACCCAACCAAAAACAAACACCCCAAAACTAATTACAAAGAACCTCAGGGTTTGATTAATTTACCAAAGGAGTAAAAAAAAAATTAAAAAACAAAAAGGAAAAGAACAAAACCCAACTTATGTCAACCGTGCATGGAACATTTGTACAAAATTAGGACAATAAACACCCCAAATGACATATATTGCAGCACTTCCATTAAATACAAGAGTTAGCAGGTTACTAACAGTGACACCAAGGGTAGAAACACGGCTAGGAGTCCTTTTTTTTTATATAGTTTTTTTTTTCTTTTTTTTTTCTTTTTTTCCCTATTTTCTCTTCCCCTTTCTTTCCTTCCTTCTCTCTCTCCATCTCCTCACTTTTTAATAATTATTATTATTATGATTCCATTTCCATGAGAGAGGTGGGGGGGGCGGAGCACGAGGGAAAGGGTGAAAAAACCTCAAAACGCCGCTAGAAGCCGGGTTAAATTTTGCGGATTTTGGGCAAAATCAGTGAGAATTGGAGTCCAGGGCGTTGGCGGCCCAAACTTTGTGGGCCACTAGAAACTGGGTTAATTTTTGCGGTTTTTTGGCAAAATCAGTGGGAATTGGAGTCCAGGGCGTTGGTGGCCCAAACTTTGTGGGCCACTAGAAACCGGGTTAATTTTTGCGGTTTTTGGGCAAAAACAGTAGGAATTGGAGTCCAATGTTTTGGTGGCCCAAACTTTGTGGGCCACTAGAAACTGGGTTAATTTTTGCGGTTTTTGGGCAAATTCAGTGGGATTGGAGTGCGGGGCGTTGGCGGCCCAAACTTTGTGGCTGCTGCGGGGATTTGCCCCAGCCAGCCCTCACCTCTCAACCCCTCCCTCAATTCCAATTTTTTAGCGTTTTCTCCTCGCGTTTTAAATAACTTTTTTAAGCTGTCGTTGCTTTTTTTATCTCTCTCTTTTTTTTTTTTTAATCTTTTTTTTTTTTTAATTTTCTCGAATCACTCCGCCGCCTTCTCCTCCTCCTCCTCGGCGCTGAGCTGCGAGGAGCCGAGCAGTTTGTTCTCCTTTTTCCACTTCATCCTCCGGTTCTGGAACCAGATTTTGATCTGGCGCTCGGTCAGGCACAGCGAGTGCGCGATCTCGATGCGGCGCCGCCGGGTCAGGTAGCGGTTGAAGTGGAATTCCTTCTCCAGCTCCAGCGTCTGGTACCGCGTGTACGTCTGGCGGCCGCGGCGGCCGCTCGGCCCGAAGGACGAACCTGGAGGGGTGGGGGGAGAAGCGCAGGAAAAAAAGGGGGAAAATCAGCCAAAAAACCAAAAAAAAAAAATCCCGAAATTTCGACGGGAAACCGTTAAAAAAATGTATGAGGAAATAGGGGGAAATGTTAAAAAATAGGGGAAAATTAGGGGGGAAATAAGGGGGAATAGGGGGAAATTTAAAAATATAAGAAAATAGTGGGAAATATTTAAAAAATAGGGGAAAAACAAGGGGGAAATGGGGGAAATTAAAAAATATAAGAAAATAGGGGGAAATACAAGCAAACAAGGGGCAAATAGGGGAAAATGTTTTAAAAATAGAAGGAAATAGAGGGAAAAGGGGGATTAAGGGAGAAATAAGGGGGATAGAAGAAAGTAGGGGAAGTAAGGGGAAATGGAAGAAAAGATAAGAAAAGAGGGGGAAATAGGGGGAGATAGGGGGGAAGTCGGGGGAAATATGGAAATTAAGGGGAAATAAGGGGATATAAGGGGATATAAGGGGAAATGGAAGAAAATAGGGGGAAATAGGGGGAAGTAGAAGAAAATATAAGAAAATGGGGGGAAAGAGGGCAAATAGGGGCAGTTAGAGGGAAATAGGGGAAATAGGGGGAAATAAGAGGAAATTGGGGGAAATAAGGGGAAATGGGGGGAATTAGGGGGAAATAAGAGGAAATAAGGGGAAACAGTGGAAATAAGGGGACATAGAAGGAAATGGGGGGAAATAAGTGGGAAACGGGAGGAAATAAGTGGGAAAGAGGGATAAATAAGTGGAAAACAGAGAAAAATAGAGGGAAATAGAGGAGGGGGGAAGGGGGAACACCGAGTTTGATTTTGGGGACGGTGCGGAGGGGGCCGCGCCTTCCTGAGCTCTGCGCAGCTCCAGGAGCAGCGCTCGGAGCGGCCCGGCCGGGCAGGGGGGCTTAAACCGGGATTTGGGCATGGGGGGGTTAAACCGGGATTTGGGCAGGGGAAGTTAAACCGGGATTTGGGCATGGGGAGGGGTTAAACCGGGATTTGGGCATGGGGGGGGTTAAACCGGGATTTGGGCAGGGGGGATTAAAGCCAAGATTTGGGCAGGGGGGGTTAAACCAGGATTTGGGCAGGGGGGGTTAAACCGGGATTTGGGCTGGGGGGTTTGAGCAGGGATTCGGACAGGGATGGTTAAGCCAGGATTTGGGCAGAGAAGGTTTAAACCGGGATTTGGGCATAGAAGATTTAAGCCAGGATTTGGGCAGAGAAGGTTTAAACCGGGCTTTGGGCAGAGAAGGTTTAAGCCGGGATTTGGGCAGAGAAGGTTTAAGCCGGGTTTTGGGCAGAGAAGGTTTAAACCGGGCTTTGGGCAGAGAAGGTTTAAGCCAGGATTTGGGCAGAGAAGGTTTAAGCCGGGCTTTGGGCGGGCAGAGCAGGCCAGATCCACCTCATGCCGGGCTCAGGGACCGCAAGGTGTCCCCGGCCCCCCCGCGCCGTAACAGATCGCGGCGTTTAAGCGATAATGAAGTGAATCGATCCGCCCGAAGCCCGCATTAAACAGGACACGACGCCTGATGTCCCCGCGCTAATGGACATCAATTTGGAACTTAAAAGGCAACAAATGCATCTAAACACGGGCGAGGAGAGCAGCGAGGCTTCTGATATTTTTCTTTTCCCCCTCCCCACCCTCCACTTATCTGAGTTTTAAAAATTATGATTGGAGTTCGGATTGAGGAAACAGCACTTAAAGAAGTGATATATCACCGGGGAGGGGGGAGAAAACCAGGAAAACCCTCCCCAGGCGGACTTTTCATTAGGAGAGAGACGCATTAAAAATGCAACCGTCCGCCTTCAAATATTTAAACGCTTTTATATCATTTAATGAGAGAGAGAGGGAGAGGGAGAGGGAGAGCGAAGGGAGAGGAGCTGTGCGTGTAAAGTCATCCAGATCTGATTTAGAAAAGATATCTCCCCGTGCGTGTGGGGCACGGACAGAGACAAATCGCTGTAGCTGAGTGACACGCCAGCAGGAATGTGGCAAAAAAAAAAAAAAAAAAAAAAAAAAAAAGAGGGAAAAACAAGAAAAAAAAAACAAGGGAAGGAGCGGGACGGAAATTCAGAAATTCAGAAATTCAGTTTTGGGGTTGAAGCGTTCCTGGCTCGGGGAATCTCGGAGCGCCGGGAAGTTTTGGTGCGCGTTCGGAGCCCAAGTTTTCCCCCCGCTGGAAGTTTGGGCTCTAACCCCGAACCTTCCCTTCCTCCCGCTCCCCTCGCTCGCTCTCTCTCCCCCTCCCCGGCGGTAACAAATACGAAAAAAGGGGAGGGAGGAGGAGACGGGGCGCGTTTATTTCTGCAAAAGAGCAAACTCACTGTTGCAGGAGTTCATCCGCTGCATCCAGGGGTACACGGGCGCGGAGCACTTCTGCTCCTCGCTCTCTCCGAAGGCGCCCTTGCCGTGCGCGCAGTCCTTGAAGGCGGGCGCCTCGTCCAGGCCGCCCGGGGCGCACGCCGGCTCCTTGTCCCTGAAGAAGCCGCCGGGCCCGAAGTCGCAGGCGGCGGCGCGGCCGCCGAACGGCGCCGAGCTCTGCTGGTAGTAGGGAGAGGAGGAGGAGGAGGAGGAGGAGGAGTAGCAGCCCTTGTCCTGCGCCGCTCCGTAGGTGCCCGGGTAGTGCCGCAGAGGGTCCGCGTAGCCCGAGGGGTACAGCGGGAGCTGGCCCAGGAAGGGCTCCTGCCCCGCCGCCAGGCTCACCGGGAAGGTCGAGTTGACAAAATAAGAACTCATCGGGAAAGGAGAGAGAGCGAGAGGAGAGAGATTCCCCCCTCTTTTTTTTTTTTTTTTCCTTTTTCCTTTTTTTTTTTTTTTTTTTTCCTTGTGTGTGTGTGTGCGTGTGCGTGCCGTCCCTTTTTTTGCCCGGGCTTTATGATTTGTTGTGTTTTATAGTCCAAGTGGTTTAGCTATTAGCGGTATATCGGAGATTGGGTTTTAGCTGAAGGGAGATGGCGCGGTGCCAGCGAGGGACACAAGGAAATACAACCATCTGATCGCGGGCTGACCAATAGCAGGCGCCTGAGGTTGCAAAATAGCACCCATGAGGAGCGGGGATTGCACCAGGGACCCCCGAGAACAAACCGTCCACCCCCTTTTCCCTCCCTTTTAAACAACAGAAAGGCACCCCCTTAACCAAATATATAATATCTGCCGAAAGGAGCCTGCTCCCGAGTTCATAAATAAATAAACGCGCGCTCCCCCCTTCCTCCTCCTCCTCCTCCTCCTCCTCCTCGTCGCCCTCCCCTCTTCCTCTCCCTCCCCCGGAGCGCCGATGGCGGTGCGAGCGCCGAAATTTCGATTTTTGCACCCAAAAACCGCGCGCGGATCCGTGCGGAACCGGGGGGAAAAGAGAGAGAGAACAACGACAAAAAGTTCATGGCTGGCGGCGGCCAAAGTTTCACCCCCGGCCCCGGAGCGTGCGAGGGCTCGGCGCGGAGCGCGGGGCGGCGGGGCGGGGAAAGGCGGCGCCGAAATGAAATCAAAAGTTGTTTTAAAATGGAATTCAAAGTTGTTCCGAGCCAAGTCCGCGCGGCGGGGGCCGAGCCGGGCTCGCTCCGCGAGGAGAAATCGCTTCGGGAACTTGAGGGGCTCCGCGCCGCGCTAATTAGCGCTAATTAACGCTGCCCGCTCCGCGCGGCCCCGGCTCTGCCTCCGCCGCTTCTCCGCACTTTTGTGGGCACAGCTCCGCGATTCGGGAATGGGAAATAATGGGAAATAATGGGAAATAATGGGAAATGACGGGAAATAATGGGAAATAATGGAAATATCTCCTCCGCGCTCCGGCCGGAGCCGCGCTCCTCCCGCATTGTGCCCTCTTGCGTTTTTTGTTAATGCCGGACCCGCGCCCGACCTTTTATGGCCAAAGCCGAGCTCGGGGTGCGGGGAAAAGCGGAATTTATCGATCCGGCCCTCCCGGGGGGGTCCCGGGCAGCGGAGCCCCCCTTCGAGCCCGCCCGCACCAGCAAACACCGAATTTTGCCCATTTAAACCCCGCCAAAGGGGACGCGGAAAGTCTCCGTGCCCCTGAAAGCTCCACTTTGCGCCGGGTTTTTAAATTTTTTTTTTTGTTTTTTTTTTAATTTTTGTTTCACCCGGATTTCCTCGCTTGGCTCTACCTGAGCATCCCCCCCGAGCTCTCCTCTCTGGCTCAAGGTTGGGTTGAGGCTCCTTTAGCCGCTATTTTTTCCCCCCCTTTTTATTTGGCTTTTCAAGGGGGAAAATCAGTCGTGGCGGCAGAGAGGCAACGTCAAAAAATAAAGCAAAAATCTAAAAAAAAAATATATATAAAAGGAAAAGAAAAAAGGAAAAGGAAAAGGGAAAAGAAAAAGGGAAAAGAAAACGGGAAAAGAAAAAAGGAAAAGAAAAAAGAAGGAAATTTTAAAAAGGGAAAGAAAAGGGAAAAAAGGAAAAGAAAAGGGGAAAAAAAGGGAAAGAAAAATTAAAAAAAAGGAAAAGAAAAGGGGAAAAAAGGGAAAGAAAAATAAAAATAAAAGGAAAAGAAAATGCAGCCAAACGACGCCCAGCACCATCCCCCCGATCAGCAGCGTTTATCAAGGGCTCGTTTCCTGTCCGAATTTGTAACCATCTGTCTGTCGGGGCTGAGATACCTCGAAATCCGCCACTTGCGAGCGCCACAAATCTACAATTGCACAATTGCACAGCCCGGAGAGGCTCCGGGATCGGGCTCGGCTTGCGGGCAATGGGTTCGGTGTTTGCAGCGCCGAGCGCGGAACGTCCCGGGCGAGGCTCAGAATTCACGGAAACCGCGGGCGGAGGAAGCGGCTCCCCCTCCCCCGGTATCGCCGATTTTCCTCCTCGCAGAGTTTCCCCTTTGTGCTCGCAGCGCACCCGAACTTGCCGCGATTTGGATAAAAATTGGGGAAAATTAAAAAAAAAAAAAAATAAAATTAGGTTGTGAGGGAGCGATGAGCCGAGAAGGAAGGGGGGGAATAAAAGGGGTGAAAAAAGAAAAAAATAAATTTTAAAAATCTGGGTAAAGAGCTTCGCAGTTGGGGCGCTGGATGAGTTACGCAATTTCTGCGGCTCTGCGATTATCAGCACCCAGCAGCCCCGAATGCAAATTTATTTATTTATTTATTTATTTGGGGCAGAGGAATGGGAAGTCCTGCAAGGGCAGCTCGTGAGGAACAGCGACCCGCCGGAAAAAAAAATGTTTGTCCTGGTGTTTTTCCGCCGCTCCTGGGATTGCTCTGCAAATAAATCCCTCGAAACAGTTTGGGAAAGCAGGGAAAAAAAATAGGGAAAAAAAATTAAAAATCTCACAGCTCGTTACGCGATAATTTGTGGTTGAAAGGGGCTTTTCGCAGAGTTTGTTTTTTTTTTTTTTGGTTTTATAAAGAAAATAAAACCGCGCTAATTGAAGGCGGCCGCTCGCTAATTGCGCATCGCCGACATCTCTGGAGATTAAAAATTTCATTTTTCCCACTCCAGCCTGGCGCGGCTCGGTGGGGGCAGGAAAAGGGACAAACCTGAGCGCCAAGGTGGGAAAAGAACCCCAAAAACCCCAAAGGCCGGGGCCGCTCCCGCCTGGCCGGGGTCAGGCCCGCGCTGTAATCGATTCGCCACCTCCGATCCATTTCCATCCGAGCCCGGCGCTCAACGCGCACTAAATCTCCCGCAATTGAGCGCCAGGCTCGGGGCTGGTTTCCATGCCCCGTTCGGGGGCTGGAAATGCGGAATTTCGGATTTAAACCGGGGCTGGGTTTGGGCGATTCCTGTTGGTTTTGGCCGCCTCGGCTCGGGCTCGGACGGGAGCCCTGGACTCGAGCCGGGCTTGGATGGGCGCGGTTTTAATCAGATTTTGGCCTCATCTCCCTAAAAATAACCCCAAAATTCCAGATCTGCTCTAGGTCTGCAAAAGAGGAGCAATAAAGTGCGGAGGGGGCTCAGCTTGAATCAGATTTTGGCCTCACGTAAAGAAGGAGCAATCAAATGGGGAGGGGGCTTATCTTTAGCCAGATTTTGGCCTCATTTCTTCAGAAAATAACCCCAAAATTCCAGGCTCGATGTCTGCAAAAGAGAAGCAATAAAGTGCGGAGGGGGCTCGGTTTTAATCAGTTTTGGCCTCATCTCCTGAAAAATAACCCCAAAATCCCAGATCTGCTCGAGGTCTGCACAGGAGGAGCAATAAAATGGGGAGGGGGCTCGGCTTTAATCAGATTTTGGCCTCATCTTTTTTTAAAGAAAAAAAACCCCAAAATTCCAGTCTCGAGGTCTGCAAAGAAGGAGCAATAAAATGGGGAGGGGGCTCGGCTTTAATCAGATTTTGGCCTCATCTTAAAAAAAAACAAAAAAACCCAAAAAACCCAAATTCCAGGCGCGAACAATAAAGTGGGGAGGGGGCTCGGCTTTAATCAGATTTTGGCCTCACTTCCTCCAGAAATCCTCCCAAAATTCCAGGCGCGAGGTCTGCACAGGAAGGGCAATAAAGCGAGGAGGGGGCTCGGCTTTAATCAGATTTTGGTCTCATCTTTAAAAAAAACCACCAAAATAATAAAAAACCCCAAAATTCCAGGCTCGAGGTCTGCACAGGAGGAGCAATAAAGTGCGGAGGGGGCTCGGCTTTAATCAGATTTCGGCCTCATGTGAAGAAGGAGCAGTAAAGTGGGGAGGGGGCTTTTCCTTAGCCAGATTTTGGCCTCGTTGCCCCAAAACCCCAAAATTCCAGGCTCGAGCAAAGGGAGGAGCAAGAAAGTGAGGAGGGGGCTCAGCTTTAATCAGATTTCGGCCTCATCTTGTCAAAATAACCCCAAATCCCAGGCTCGGGCAATAAAGTGGGGAGGGGGCTTATCTTTAATCAGATTTTGGCCTCATTTCCCCAAAAAGCCCCCAAATTCCAGGCTCGAGGTCTGCAGAGGAGGAGAGATAAAATGGGGAGGGGGGTTTATCTTCAGCCAGATTTTGGCCTCATTTCCCCAAAATCCTCAAATTCCAGGCTGGAGCAATAAAATGGGGAGGGGGTTTATCTTCAGCCAGATTTTGGCCTCATTTCCCCAAAATCCCCAAATTCCAGGCTCGAGCAATAGGAGTGGCAATAAAATGTGGAGGGGGTTTATCTTCAGCCAGATTTTGGCTTCATTTCCCCCAAAAAACCCCAAATTCCAGGCTCGAGCAATAGGAGGGGCAATAAAATGGGGAGGGGCTTTATCTTTGGCCAGATTTTGGCCTAATTTCCCCAAAATCCTCAAATTCCAGGCTGGAGCAATAAAATGGGGAGGGGATTTCATTTTAGCCAGATTTTGGCCTCATTTCCCCAAAATCCCCAAATTCCAGGCTCGATGTCTGCTCAGGAGGGCGATAAGCGGGGAGGGGCTTTATCTTTAGTCAGATTTTGGCTTCATTTCTCCCAAAAAACCCCAAATTCCAGGCTTGAGCAACAGGAGTGGCAATAAAATGGGGAGGGGGTTTATCTTTAATCAGATTTTGGCCTCATTTCCCCCAAAAAAACCCCAAATTCCAGGCTGGAGCAATAAAATGGGGAGGGGGTTTATCTTTAATCAGATTTTGGCCTCATTTCCCAAAAAAACCCCCAAATTCCAGGCTGGGGCAATAGGAGGGGCAATAAAATGGGGAGGGGGTTTGTCTTCAGCCAGATTTTGGCCTCATTTCCCCAAAACCCCCAAATTCCTGCGCAGGAGGGCGATGAGCGGGGAGGCAGCAGAAGGGGCAGCCCCCATTTCCCTCTGACAGCCGCCGCTCAGGCGTCAGCGCAT